GCTGAATCACCATATTGTACACCTGAAACTAATTCAGCATTGTACATTAATTATACTGGGTTTTAAGAAAATTAATTAAAAAATAAAAATAAAAACTAGATAAAACATAAATGTCCAGTAGTGAGGAATTGGCAAGTGACAGCACATCAACATAATTAAATAAAAAAACGATGAAATTTGTCATTATGAAGGAGGAATTGGATTGAAATCCCAGCTAAATTACATAAACTACTGAACAGACATATAAACCTAGGCAAAGTGTGTCTCCTATTTAAGTGTTCATTTCCTCATTTGAAAGCACAAATAATACTTATTCCCATATTGATGACATGAAGAATAAATGAGTTCACATATATGAAGTGCTCAGTGAAGTTCTTGGAGCATCATAACTACTCACTACATTGCAACACCTTTGCTACTTATCTTTAAATAAGGACTTAGAGAGGCGCCAGGGTGGCTCAGTCAATTAAGCTTCAGATTTTTGATCAGGTCATGATCTCAAGGTTTATGAGTTCGAGCCCCATGTCGAGCTCTGTGCTGACAGCTCAGAGCCTGGAGCCTGCTTCGGAATCTGTGTCTCCCTCTCTCTCTCTGCCTCTCCTCTACTTGCGCGTGCACTCGCTTTCAAAAATAAATAAATAAGAAATTAGAAATCACTACGATCATGATTATAAAACACACAGGCATTGGTATATTAACATGAAGTTATAAGTGATGAGGTTTTTGGGGGTGATAGTGGTGTCTGGAGCCAACAACCAAGAAAGAATTCTTGACATCTTTTGGTGGAGATAGGTGGTTTGATTAAAGCACTGGGACAGGACCTATGGAGGGAAGAGTTGCCCCAAGACCATGAGGAGAGACTGGTTATATGCTATGGAGTTGAGGGAGGTAACGTCCAGGGGAAGCTTCCAGTGCGATTTTCATATACGCAGAAAATCCTACGCAGGATTTTCATATCCTGGAAGACTCCCAGGATAGTGGAGGCCTAGCTATTGTCCAGCTAAGGTTGTTTGCCCTCTAGCAAAGCATTAGCATTAAGACAGTAGGGAGTTCCTGGAGAAATGCTTTACTCTGAGCCTCAAGTATTTGTCAGTGGGCTGCAGATTATAAAGAAATCTAGTTCTGTCTGCCATTTCCTTCTGCCTTGTTTCCCACATCACTACGGAGGGGTGATGTTGAGGCTCCAAGAAACAGTGTATACGTTTCGCGAGATTAGGCTGTTGATAAGATTGCCTTTTTCTTGTGATTTACTAAGATACTTGTAAATAGATGAAGAGTCAGGTCCTGCAGGACTATGATCTCTATCAGTTAACCATTTGTTTTCCCCCTTTCTTTCATTCTTGGGCAGCCAGGAGTGCCTGAGGAATATCACACCTGGGGGTGGGATGGGGTGTTTGCGGCCTGTCAGCTTGCCTTATGGTCCCTCATCGGTAAGAACGACTTCTTACATTTTGTTTAAGAAAAGAATTTATGGGGACGCCTGGGTGACTCAGTCGGTTAAGCCTAGGAATCTTGATTTTGACTGAGGTCATGACCTCAAGGTTTGGTTAGTGGCATCTAGCCTGAGCCCCATGTTGGTCTGTGTGCTGACAGCAGGGAGACTGCTTGAGATTCTCTCTCTGCCCCTCCCCTTCTCGCGCAAGTTCTCACACTCTCTCTCAAATAAATATTAAAAACAAAAAAGAACTTATGAAACAGATAAACACAGGCTGTACAGAGTATTAATAAGGATTCTGTTTCAAAGAAATGCATTCTTCCTATATAGTTTTAAAAAGCTGAATGATTTGAAAGCCATGAAGACCTCCCGTGTTTGCCATAAGCAATTTTATATTCATGATTGTACAAACTAGCCAATGCTTTTGAAAATAAGCAACATAAAGTTAAAACAAAAAACAAAAAAACGTCTTCTACTTGCATTTCAGCAGCTTTCAGAAGGAGTCTAATCAGAAGGAGCATGGAACTTTGTTCTCCTGATGTGCCCTCCAAAATAGCACAGGCTAACAATAGGAGGCCCCAAAGAGGCCCTTTTTATGATGACAAAGAAAACTGCTCCTACAAATCAAAGCCCATATAAACAAGGAAAAGGCTATTTAAAACATTCACAATGAATGCCAGTTGTCAGCCTGCTAGAGACACTGCTTGAAATGACTTGTACCCATCACATATTTATTTCTACAGGTGGAGAATTATATATTTGACTTGTTGGAAAGGTTGGTTACTAAAAATACTCTTTTTTTTTTAATAAAACACAGAAAGAGGAACAAAAAGAGTGGCAGCTGCTTATTTCTTTGTAACAAAATGTGACTTGTAATGTGGCAATGGTGAAAGAGCAGAGCCAGAAATGAAGCAATTTAGAAAAGCTACACTCTTAAACAATGCCACAGGATGTAATGTTGGTTGGAATTTAATGAACCTGCCAGGTATCTTCAAGTGTCAGTCAGGTAATTTTGGAACCTTATTGAGAAAACCAGACTGAGAATCACTGTGTGATATGGTGCTGCTGACACACAAGTAAATATGTGGCTCCTATAGAGAAACAGAACGATGTTCTATGTTAAAATGCAGTGGTAGAGGAGGGAATTGTCTTGTGATACAGAAAAGAATGATTTTCTACAGATCGCTGTCAGTAACAATGAAAATTTCCAGGGTGGACTTTCATTCGAGGTACTTTGTAAAAATGATTAAAAATACCACCTGGACCAAAATTTTTGCCTTCAACTGAAACCTACCTAAGTAATTTCTTTGTGTTCTGGGATTAGACAAAAGGCAAACAAAATTCCCTGTCACTGCCTCCTCACAATCTTCTGCAGACCATTATCCAAATTTCTTTTCCCGCTTTTTGTTCTTAGTTTTACTGGTTCCAGTTCCCAACCAAATTGAATCTGGTCCTCAGATGCCATTGTTAATTTATTTTAAATTTTTTTTTTTTTTCTGGTAATGTACCAAGTTCAGGATAAAATCCCTTGTATTTACCCACTAGTCCCACAGACCCTCAGTGTCTAAGTAATAAGTATGCTGTTCCGTATCCCTTGCCTGACTTTTCTCTATGAAGCAGCTGAAATTAGACAAGCTAGTCAGCAAGTCTAAACAGTGGGAGTTAGAAGATAATATTACTCTATATAACTGAGTTTATTAACTATTAGTGATTTCTGAGAGTCAAAGACATTACCTCAGCAATAATTGTGAATTTCTATTTCTAAATGAAAATTAGTCGAGATCATTAAGTCAATGTGTATAATAGGCTGTTTCCTTGCTTTTCTTTGAAATCCAAATTGGGACTAAATAAAATGTAATGATTTAAAGTTATGTGATCTTGACTTTATGTCAGCTTTTTTCCTAGATAAAGGCATTTTTAAGAGCTCAAGTTTTTCAGTCCACTCATTTTTAAATGCATTCATAAACAATCTGAACACTATGCTTCAGACCTTCTAGGAATTGTAGAATATTTTAGTTGAAAGGTACCATACAGGTGAGCTTGTCTCCTTTCAAATGCTCCCCCCCAGACATCTACAGGTTGAGGTGTCAGGACCAGGTAGTTTTCTGGGAGCCTGAATTAGACATGTCTGTCTTTAAAGCTTGGCATCCAGAGACAGTGAAAGATAGTGTTCAGAGATGAGATGGGAAATGCAAATTAAGTAGTAAAACCAAAGTCATATTGAAAATGCTGAGCAAACGTTAATTAGGCATAAGAGAAACAAAGAGATGGAGGTTATCAGTACAGTGCAAATGAGTTTGGATATCCAGTGAGAGTGGAAATTAGAATCTGGTGACATATGAAATACTGTGGAAGAATCACAGGGACTTTTTATAGAGAATGCTTGACCTTGTTTCTGAATGGGGAATTGAGAGTCCTGAGCCAATTTAAATAGGTATTACTATAAACTTAATACTTAAATTCTCTTTATAGAATTCAAGTTGCATTAGCCATCCAGCCTATATGTGAAGAACTATAGTGACAACTACTTATTATTTCCTAAGGATGTCCCTTTTGGTTGTGGAAAGCTCTGAATACTGGACAGTTTTTCCTTTTATTGAACCAGAATGGTCCCCTGTAACTTCCACCAGCTGGACCTTGTCTTTTATGCTATGTATGCATAGCTATAATAGAAATGTAGTATCAACTGTACTATTTTTAGAAATTCAGTGAGACCCAAAAATTCAAGCAGCAGGATTATCTTCATATCCTAATTTAGGGTCTTAATAGCCAATAGAAACAAGTCTTATTTTATTAGAACTGCAGCCAGGCAATTCACATAATGGTTCTCAAACTTCAAATGTTTCCTAGCATTTTAAATATTCTCTAATAAAAGTCTTCTTAGAAGATAAAAAAAAGCTTTTAATAGGGTTATCACCATGATCAGCATAGTTAATGAGTACATCTTGGGACAGGAACTTAGCCATATTTGTTGTAGGGGTGGGGCCTTTATTTTCAGTGAATCATCGAACACATATTCAGAACTATGGAAGGAAAGAGCTAAAGGTTGTTGTTTATTTGAAGTTCCTAATACATTTTGGAGCAAGAATGTAAAATATAAAGGAAACATGCTTTCTGAGGAAAACAAAAATGTACTTCCCAAGCTCAAAGGAGTCAGTTTATGTCAATTTGTTACCATTTTATTAAAATCAAAGAAAGAAGACAATAAAAAAGAAACATTTCATTAAACAATCAGGAGGAAAAATCAAAATTATTCCCACATTTTTATGAGAGCACTTTCATTCAGATACAAGTAGCAGTTACTCATTACCAAATGGCATCCTTTTGTTAGAGATATGGGTTTGAGGAAAACTGTCAAAGGGATGATCAAAAGGCAGTGAGGCAAGCACAGGTGTATTCTCCCTGACTTGGAGGAGGGGTACCTTTTGTATTAGATGGCAATTCTGGTAACAGTCTTCACAAACCAATACCGGGGACTGCTCTTGGAACATCCCCTGGGGACTTGAACATCATTTGAGTTAAAGTGAGGTCAGCCTTGTTGGCCCTACTCTATTGCCTAAGCTTTTTATACATGAGTCTGATACAACAAACTGTGGTAATCCTCCTTTTCCATGAGGAGGGGCTGTCTTTCTTCATGGAGCTGCTTTCTTTTGCGACGACACAATAGGCTAGTGAGCCTTCCCAGCACAGCCGTGAGGACAGAGCCTACCACAGCAGCCCCAATGAGCCATGGCCAGATCCGACTTGCTTGTTCCAAGAAGGGCTTAATGTAATCTTGAAAAATGTCCCGTTCTGAAACAGAAACATATCCCAGTGTTTTTACTGTTGTCATCATCAGCATCAGCATCATCATTAACATCATCATCATCATCATCATCATCATTATCATTAATTATCCTTTCAGAGTACTGTGGAGTCAGACACTTAGGTTTGAATGCCAGCTCTGCTACTTAGTGGCTATAAGAGCTCAGAAAATTCACACCTAATACTCCTAAACCTTCGTTTCTTTATCAGGAAGGCAGGAACATAATACCACCTTGCTGGAATGTTTTAAAGTTGATTGATAACAATCAATCAACTGATCTGTAATTTATGCAGTGCCTACAACCAAGTCAACTATTGTAATTTTTAGTTCTTTATTCTGATATTTGCTTCCATATTTCAAAATAATAGGCAAATATTACCATCTTTTAATTCATCAAGTTTATATCTGGAGTTCTTCATATAGAAGTAATGATTCTTGTTATCTTACAACTACCCTTTTCTTCCCTAAGTCTTTTTGGCATAATAACATCATGATTTGGGGTGAAATCCACATCTTGGATTTTCATTAGTTTTAATTTTTTTAATGTTTATTTATTTTTGAGACAGAGAGAGAGAGAAAGAGAGAGACAGCGCAAGTTGGGGAGGGGCAGATAGAGAGAGAGGAAGACATGGAAACCTAAGCAGGCTCCAGGCTCTGAGCTGTCAGCACAGAGCCCAATATGGGGCTTAAACCCACAAGCTGTGAGATTATGACCTGAGCTGAAGTCGGATGCTTACCCAACTGAGCCACCCAGGCGCCCCTTTGTTAGTTTTAGTATATAAATAATATTCACAGTGGAATGGTTACATTTCCTTATGTTATTTTTCCCTTGTAGTTAATAATTTATTGTATCCTTTTGGTTGATTTAAAAATACCTATCACTATTTATAAAAGACTCCAAGATATTCCTATTCATTTTGTATACAAAGAAGAGAGTGCATCTTGGGCTTACCTTGAAGCGAATGATGTCTATGTGACTCAAGTCTTGTGCGAAAGCAATATATGTAACTTTGGGGCATTTTCCTTAAAAAGAAAAAAATGTATCTTTTCCTTTTTCCTTTTTTCTTTTTGCTTAGTGGTAATGCAGATAGTGTGTTGATGAGCCATCATGGACCATGTGGTCCAGATTAAGCCCTAGGTCTTGTGGAAACAAGAAAGAAGAGCTCCGGACCCTGGAATTATGGAGCTGATATTCAACAACACACCAAAAATGCTATTTGAGCAATAAATAAAGTAACTTATTTAAGCCATAGGTCTTTGAACCTGCATCTGCTCTCAATCCCTACCTTCCCACCCTCGCTGATGCAGGAACTATAACATTCTTTGAAAACTCTTTCCTTGGTCATAGTTGATTGGTACATGGTAGACCACTGACTCAAGATGGGCCAATCAGAATCACTTCTCAGAATTTACTGTGCTGCAGTTGCCAGGTGTCTTGGGAACTGATGACAGCCTGACTTCTCAACCTGTAGAAGACAGGATGAACGCACTCCAAGAAATAGAGATGAGAGAGAATGGGAGAGACAGTGAGAGGGACAAAGGGACAGAGAGACAGAGAGTTTTTAGGGCTTAGAGTTCCCTGGTTCCTGCTCTTCCTCAGTCTCAACTGCATTTCTGCCTTTCCCAGAGTTTGAGTGTTCATCCCTCCTTGGATTTTTTTAAACCAAAAAATACCTTTATTTTTTAATCTAATCTCATTCCTATGGAATTTATGCCATTTGCATTTTTGAAAGTCCTGATTATTTAAAAAAGTTAATTATATGTCCACTACAATAAAAGATGGAGTAGAAACCTTAGGAAATTTTGGAACTGCAACTACAGTAAAACCTTCTATTATGAGTAACTTGTTCTGCTAGTGTTCTGCAAGATGAGCAAACATTTGTAATAAATTTTCACTTGATAAATGAGTGATATCTTACAATATGAGTATGTGATGCTGAATGTCATATGATCACAAATGAGCCAATGGTTCTTGAAATGCACTTTGATATACAAGTGCTTTGGATGACAAGCGTGTTTCCAGAATGAATTATGCTCGCAAACCAAGGGTTTATGTATATGTAAACTCCATGTATAATAAAAATGAGATTCACAGACCAATGAGAAAAGGAATGTTTATTTAATAACATATCTTGGAAATCATGGGTAGCAACATGAAATAAAATTTAAAATGATTCAGAATGTTCAGAATGGTTAAAATAGGAATGTTCTTTTTTATTTAATAGGATTAAAACCCTGTCCATTTCTCCTTCTGTCCTTGACACCATCTTTTTGCCAGCTGTCACTAAGTTACCTCTAAAATTTCTAGAACTCATTAAGCCTAATTTGAACAGTGTAGCAATTTAGAGTTTCTCTTCATCAGGAAGGGAAACAACTTACAAAGGATAAACATTACCAAATTCATTATATAAAATATTTAGAACTTTGACATTTAAATCTAAGCAATGAAAGCAAAAAAGCTAAAATTAAAAAGAAATATCAAAAAGTTACTGTTTTCAATATATTTAAAATTATTTTGAAAATGGGACTCCAAATGCCTGGCTTATATTGCTAGTAGTCACTTCAATATATAAAGTATGTTTAAAATGTCTAGCAAAATGCAGGGTACATAGAGATTCCATAATAAGATTTCCTCTATTTCAGGTTCAGCTCAAGTCACAATTTTAAAGTACTATTTCTTTGTGCTGCTCTTCAGCCTCTCTTAAAATTTCTCTACTTCAGTTCACTCTAAGTGGTCTCAATTTTTACTGCTACCTATGGACTTCTTTGAAACACTCTTTGTATTTCTCAATGGCTCTAAACTAAAATTCAGACTTTCTTTCTCAGCTACTTGCCTTGGAACCCAAAGAGTACACCTTTAAATTATTTTTTATATCATAATTGTTCTATCTTTGGCTACCTAAATTAGCCCTTGGTAAAATGCCTAGCACATAGAAAGAAATTTATAACTGTTAATGATTGTTGTTATTCCATAATAATTTCAACCATATTTCAGTTGAACCAGCTTCTAATAAGAGCTTTCTCTCTCAAAACTGCTTTGATTACTGATTCAAGTCAGCTCTCTTTTGGATTCTCAAACTTTTTCTTTCTTTGCTCACTTGTGACACTTGGCACCATTGTCTATGTGTTGTAATTATTTATATGTATTATATGTATTTTCAGGCTTAATAATAAGTTCTTGAGAGGCAAGTATTATGTCTTGTTTTATCTTTCATTCTTCTATTCATTCTTTCATTCATTCATTCATACAGCAAATATTCATTGAGACACATTACATGCCAAGTGGTGGTCTTGGCACTGTAAGTGAAAAGATAAACAAGTAGAATCCCTGGCCTGAAGGAAACCATAACTGGAAGAGGAGAGTAGCAAGTAAATAAATTATTTCAAGAGTGATGTTGTAATGATGGAAGTAACCAAAAGATACAATGGAATCATGGTGGAAAGAGCTCATATCTGTCTGGGGAGTCAAGGGTGGCCTCCCAGAAGACTATCATGCATGTGCTGTATGTGATGCATGCTGCATGTGATGCAAGCCATCATGACGGCACACGATGGCAAGCCATCCCAGGAAAAAAGGAACAGTATGCACTGATGTATACACATAGGTAAGCATGGCTACTGAACACATTTGTGAGTGATAGAAGCCCCATTATCAAATCTCAACTGCAGAATGGGACACTCTAGTTACTGTCATTGTGTCTCCTCCTCTCATTTTTTTTTTTTTCCCAACGTTTATTTATTTTTGGGACAGAGAGAGACAGAGCATGAACGGGGGAGGGGCAGAGAGAGAGGGAGACACAGAATCGGAAACAGGCTCCAGGCTCTGAGCCATCAGCCCAGAGCCCGACGCGGGGCTCGAACTCACGGACCGCGAGATCGTGACCTGGCTGAAGTCGGACGCTTAACCGACTGCGCCACCCAGGCGCCCCTCCTCCTCTCATTTTTAACACCAAATGTTAAGGTCTTTTGGGATATATTGGGATAAGGCAGCTCTCGATAGAGCAGTATCATACAGAAAGCAGGATCGCATTTTCCAACAGCATTAAGGACACAGCCTTTTATTGCCAAAGCTTTTTGTTCTCGCCTTTTAATCAGTTATGCATGCAAACAAAATCACCTGCTGCTCAATTTTTAAAAGCATCACTAAATTCGATTATAAGAGAAAATGTTTGACAAATGCCAGACCTCAGCTGCCTTTTGCAGAAAACACTTAAGTAATTACAAACATGAGTACTTGAATGATGAATAATAAACTTCTTGAACTAAATTACATGAAGCAGTTTTTAAAAATTTTTTTTAGTAGGCCTAAAGTTTAGCAATAAATACAAATAAATTTTAAACTCCTTGAATGTACAACAGAAGCAATAGAATAATTCATAAACAAGAAAACAGGCAGTTGCTATTGTTGATTTTAAAGCCAAACTTTTCTAAAATTAATGGTATATATCCATAGCTGTATGAAAAGTACCCTAAACAATACAACATCTCAAATCTACTTTATTTTTTTAAATATTTAAGTAGAAATAAATAATAAATAGCTAAATCCCCTAATGTGACTTTTTGAGCCCCCCTCCCTTCTCTCCTCTGATGGATTTTGTTGCCTTTTCAGTAAAAAGTACCCATTTGGACTACAGAGAAGGAACCATGAGATGGAACATAATATACAAGACATATAGGGACTAAAGAGGACCCTGTCTAGTGTGGCATAATGGGGGAGAAAATTAGTTTGGGATTCAGTATTAGCCACTTAGTTGCTTGATGACTTAGAATTTGCCACTTTGTCTTTCTGTTCTCAATTTACTTGCAAAACAAAATAAAAATCACTACTACATAAGATTGTGAAGATTAGCAGAGATAATAATTTACCTGCTGATGTCTGTAACTTATATCCTATTACTATCTGCAGGGCAGAATGTCTGTCTGTCTTTTTCTTTCTTTCTTTCTTTCTTTCTTTCTTTCTTTCTTCTTTCTTTTTCTTTCTTTCTTCCTTTCTTTCATTTATTCGTCTTTGAGAGACAGAGAGAGAGCATTGAGCAGGGGAGGGGAAGAGAGAGAGACACACAGAATCCAAAGCAGTCTCCGGCTCCCAGCTGCCAGCACAGAGCCCGACGCGGGGCCTGAACCGATGAACCATGAGATCATGACCTGAGTTGAAGTAGGACACTTAACCAACTGAGCCACCCAGGTGCCCCCAGAATGTCTTCTGAGTTTCAAGGCCAACCAACTGCCCCAGAGACATATTTACCCTGATGTCTCCTATCATCCCATTTCACTGCATAACAAATGCAGACATGAGATTCCCACCATGTCTGGCCTCGCTCTTACTGATACTGTCTCAGTGACAGTATCACCATGCATCATATTCACAGGCCAGAAAGCTTAAAGGCATCCCTAACATCTCCTTCTTTCTCACCTCCTATGATTCACATGAATCCATGATTATCACCTTGGAATCATTTTCCAAGTTCTGTACATTTTATAAATTCAAAATAATATCAAATTCTTTCATGATTTCTGCCAACCTACCTACCTCTTGGACTCTTGTAATAGCATCTTCACCACCTTCCCTGAATGTGCTTTGTAACTGCTACAAAATGCCCTACATACTGCAGTAACAGTAATCTTTAGAAAACTCAAGACAATCTGTTTAAAATTTATCAATGGCTTCTGTTATTTTAGCACTATGGCCAAAATCTGCAATCAAGACCCCCCCCTCTTTTCAACTAATCACTTCTCCCTTTCATGCCAATATCTTCTGAAATATCACTTCATTGACCCCTAGACATAGGTATATCTCCAAATAAATAAGTCATTAGGTAAGTAATTGTTTAAGGTCTTCCATTAGTATGTAGACTCCATAAAGATAGAGACTATGTTGTTTACCACTGTATCCATCGTATGTAAGAACATGCTTTGTTCAAAGTAGTTATTAAATGTATGTAGAAAGAATAAATAAATCAAAAACACCACCTAGAAAATACCTAGTGTGATCAAAGGCTTGAAATATATTAAAAATACATGTCTAAAAATGACCTGAGTATTAAGAGGGCTGACATTTTTCTAGCAAGCTTTACTTATATTGGTTAAGAGATATTACCTTTCATGACCAATATCACTTGTACTCAAATTGATTCATTGATTTCACCCCAATAACCAGATATCATTTGATATTTAAACTAGAGAAGCTTGAGAGATATCAATTCTAATCTTGTAGAGTACAAGGTCAAGGTGGAGTGGGGAAAGATTCATACATAAAAAATTACCATGTAACTCTAATAAAGGAATGATTAAACATGACTACATATATGCATAAAATGATTTAATATCTGAGAGTTTGACAAATTGATAAACAGGATCAAAATTTAGCCAGAGAGAACAGCATGTTTAAAAGCATGAGCCCATGAAAGAATATGGCATGTTTTGGAAATGGAAATCATAAAATGCTAAGTGGTGAATCTTTGAAAAGCCATTACAAATACGGTTCTTTCTTTATGTATGGTGGGGTGTTTATAGATGGAAGGGAAAACATGTTACTTGAGACTTTTTTTTTTGACTTGCAGAAAGCCCTCCCCTTACCACATCTCTGCTCTTTGCAAAATTCCCCATTCTCAGTGATCTTAAGGTTTTGAAATAACTGATTTCCAAAGCCAGCCATTTTAGTATTCCTTCCATTGCCTGTGATTTTCAGATAAATCAAAACAGGTTAATCAAAGCCATATTTGTTCAACTAGTGATCCCCAAAGGGCAGGTAAATGTTGATAAAATATAGGTTCTCCTGGTAGCCCTAAATTGTGGTTCTGCTATGCTACATACTAGCTAGATGGACTTGGACAAGTTATTTATATTCTTTAGGCTTCTGTTTTCTCATCTGAATAGGAAAAAAGAAATAATAGTACCTAATTCATAGGCTAGTTATGAAGTTTAAATAATGCACACAGCACACCTAAAAGAGTTTCTGGCACATAAAAAATACTCAGTATGTGTTAGCTATTATTAAATGATTTCATTTCTTTCCTCAGGGTAATTTTCCATTGCCTATACTACTCAAATAGGAGAATTTAGCATTCTGTAAATAAACTGTACATTCTTCACCTCTATTTTTCTTGTTATTATCTTCATTTATAGTATTTTCTGCCCTGTTCATCCTTCAAGGTCTTGTCTTTCTCCTTGAGTTATTCAGGGAGTTATTCAACTCAATAGCTTGAGTTATTCAGAAGTCATTGCTTTCTCCTCTGTGCTCCTCTGTTGGAGTTTGTTTATGACTTTGCTGCACTTAACACAGACTGATGTTTTGTACTTTCTTGCACAATTGCCTGACTTCCACATTGAATTTAGAGCTCCTTGAAGTTTGGAACTATGTCAGTCCTTTATGTCCTTAGAATCTAGCACAAGAGGTAGGAAGTTGGTAAATGTCATTAATATGTTTAATTTACTTGTTTTTATGAATTATAATTTTTATGAATTATCAATGAATATAATGAAACATCACTGCTTATTGAATACCCCTTACTCACAAGCCATATGTTATTGTTTTTTGTTTTGTTTTGTTTTTCTACTGTTTTTGGATGTTGATACTCCTGTGTTAGAGTAGAAGCATAGTGTAGTGAAATGAAGAGAGGGCCTTACAGTATTGAAATCTGCCTCCTCCACATATTGGTGTCTGATATTGGGAAAGTCATTTAAACTCTCACAGTATCAGTGGGATCACCTATTACTAGAGATACTAATACTAACCCTAATGTATGATTGATTAGTAACACATGTGCGAGATCTGCATGTAGCGGGTTGTTGGGTGGGGGAAGACATTGTTACCTGTACCACATTTATTAGGAAGATATTGATATTTCTACTCAGGAAGATTATTTAAAGCCCAAATATAATTATCATCTTAGAGTTTTATATTATTAGGTTAATCATGGTCATAGCAATTATCATTTTAATCATTCTTTCTTCTTTTTCCTCCTCCTGACTTTCCTCCTCCTCTTCTTCCTCCTCATCCTCCTTCTTCTTCTTTCTCTTATTGTTGTTGTTATTATTATTATTGTTATTATTAATTAGGCTTAAAATTAAAACATCCACAAGTTTTCTTGGTAATTTTTAAAATTTATTTATTTACTTATTTATTATTTTGGAAGGAGAGAAAGAGTGCGTGTGCAAGCAGGGGAAGGGCAGAGGGGCCGGGGGGAGAGAGAGAGAGAGAGAGGGAGAGAGAGAGAGAGAATATCCCAAGCAGGCTCCGAGCTGAGCATAGATCAGTACAGGGCTTGATGCCACAACCATGAAATCATGACCTGAGCCAAAATCAAGAGTCAGACACTGAACCAACAGAGCTGCCCATGCTTCCCTAAAACTACAAGATATTTATCTTTTGTCACACCACACTGGACTCTTTAATACATCATATTCATTTAATTATCACAATATCTCTTTGAAGTATTCTGACCCCAATATTTCAGGTTAAAAAACTGAGATTCATAGAGTGAAGAAAAATTTCCAAGGTCACCTTACAGTCAGCTGATAGAGTCATGTCTTAAACCCTCTTTTTCCTTTCTGATTTTAATTGTAATGTTCTTTCCATGGCTGCCATATGCAAAATGCCCTATATTAAGCATAATAGATGTGAATTTAAAGATCCTTGCAACTTAGTTAATATAATAATAAATTAGTGATAAATTAAGGTTTGTAGTATGCTTTCCCAATTTAAAGGCTTTGGGGATAGCATTGTAAAAACAAAAGGTTATGTAGTCCCTCAAAAGATATTGGTCACACAAGATTCATCATTTCATATGAAAGAAATTAAACTTTACCTGAATCTTGTAGGTTGCTATAGTCATAGCCCAGATCTCTGGATGAAATAAAGAAATCACCATTTCTGTATAGAGGTATAAAAGGAACCATGTAGGACTCCCGGTTGTGTCCAATGGGTGCATTGGCTTCTGGATAAACTTCTTGAAGAGGATGGTGCCTTCGGAGCCATTGTTCAAAAATACTGTAGAGGAAAGGATTATTCAGACTCAGAAACATGTTTATAAGAGAAATATTTATAATTCTTAAAGTAAAATAACCAGGCATATCTTAAAATTCCAAGACATGGAAGGATGCCAAATATATTTTTTATGCTTTGAAAATATTTTGTGAAGCACTAGTTCATTCTGTCAGCCCCTGATGAAGCTCACTCACTTGAAAGAAATATGAGAGGGTAACTATGGAAAGGGAATTTCTTAGGTAAGTGAACTTTACGTGACAAGTTTAGACCTTTCAGAATGCTGCAGAACAAGGGTAATTATTGGTTGAATGACAACTGAATCAGAGTTGTAAATTAAATATGTTTCTTGTTTCAAAGAAAGTTAGCCTAAAGAAAGAACACATAAAACTAAGTTGGAATCAGTACTAAAATTTGTTTTTTTGTTTGTTTGTTTTTTGCTTTTTGTTTTTTGGTCATGGCAGGGGACTTTCAATTATTTCAACCATCTTGTTCTGTTTGGCGAAGTGTATGCTTAATGAGACTTGGGGTGAGAAAGAGCTTACCTCCCATAATGAAGACTAAAAATACCTGGACTTGGCTTTCCATCTTCCCCTGAAGCTAGAGTATGACCATATGATTCATACTCAATCATATATTCATCCAAGACTTTGAAACAGAGGATAGTGACATACAGAAGCAAGGACAATGACAAATTATTCTGGTAGTGGAAAGACAATTGTGATAACAACATCTAATTTTTAGGGATTATAAGACCAGAAGTACCAGGAAAGGAATATCCTGTGTTCTATAGCATGGTTTTAGCAGATCTCTTAGCTGCTACTCCCCTCTTCCCTTGTTCCCACTCATTTCTGAACCTGCTTCTCCATGATTTCCTGAGCTATCCAATATCTTCTTAGCAAATTCTTTTTCTGTTTAAATCAACCAGAGTTAGTCTCTTGTGTGCAATTAAAAATTATGACAGAACAAAAGATAAACAATTAAGAGATTAAAAAGATTGAGTAAGAACAAAGTAGAAACTTAACCTATGGAAGAATTCATAGTGTATCATTAAAAGTGTGACACAGAGAATGGCTTTGTATTATCAGGCTATATAATAGAGGGAAGGACACAAGACCTAAAGTCAGAGAACTCCCCTTAAGGCCTAGCTCTGTGTTTTAAAAGCTGTATATCTCTAAGCAAATCACTAAAGTTCTTGGAGATCTAGCCTCTTCGTCCTTAAATGAAAGCAGTAATATTTGCCCTATTTCCAAAGGGATTATCCAATGTGATAATATTTATGGAAGTACTAAATAACTAAGCTATTGTTACTTAGCTATAAAACTTGTGCCAGGAGATAAAAAGTTAGTGCATTGTCCTGGCGATGGCGTCTAAAAAGGAAAGTGATAATGCTTCAAACAAACAAAAATTGAAAAAAAAAAATGGAAATAAAGAAGAAAACAATGATGCAGAATGGCAGTTCATTTTTACCACACTGGAAAATAGTTCTATTTGTTTAGAGTATCTGGACTTCAAATGCTAGTTGTGGTTAAAGTTGGCTTTTAATTGTGAATTAACCAAGGGATCAGCAGGTCACTGATAAATACTGAAAATCTGGTCCACAAATACGAAATGATCTCTAAATAGCTCAACTACTAAATAAGTTTATTCAGTATTTATTATGCGTCAAAGTTTGGAGCAGCAAGAGCCTACATAAAAAACTGAGTCCCATGGGTTATGACAAGGGAAATTTGTAAAAGTTTCTTAATTTGTTTGATTTTCCTTTTCTTCATCTGTGAAATGGGAATAATATTTATGGATTAATTAGTATAACATAAGTAAGATGTACATTTAATTGTTAACAAATGGTAAGTAGAAACCATCATCATCCTCATCCCCTTCTTCCTCTTCTCCCTCCTCCTCATTATTAACTTTATACTGGAAGAACTTTACAATTAGCAAGAGACCTGAGACATACTATAACAGAAATTCCAAAGCCATGTACATTTGAGCTGGGTCTTTTGAAGAAAGGTTATGATTCTGACAGGCAGGAATGAAAAAGGAGAAGATATGGGAAGATTGGCTTTTCTGTGTGTGCCTTCTCAACTAAAGAAATTTGGAATTGGCTTAACGAATAAGGCCCAAATTCTATTCAAGACCTAAAATTTTATGAATCAGCTTTTTTTTGTTTTAAATTCTGCAGTTTTTTCCTTGCATGAAAGCATTACTTACTCATTATTTACAATTCAGAAAACATAAATGGGCAAAAATGAGAGAAGAAAAAAATTCATATAATTGCTTCGTATTTTGTTGTATCTAGTTTATAAAATGTGCATATATGTACATATATATTTTAACAAAAAAGAGAATTGTATTATAACATTTTAAAAGGTATTTTATTTGTATTAAGCAATATTTAATGTTTAAACAATATTTAAACACGCTTACACAATGTTTACCTGCTTTTCAACTGGCAAATCTATTTTTTTTTTAATGAGAAGGAGGCTTTTTGATCCAATTAATCTCTCCCCCATCCCTATTAAACTTTGATTGCAAAAGAGCCCAATATCCAATGAGCTACCAGGTAAGGGCTTGAGGCAAAAATTGTGCCTTTTGTTAATTGAGAAAAATTACTACTGTAGTTCAGCTTATAAATAATCTTTTTTTTTTCCTGCCGAGAAATAAAAATTCTTCACTAGGTAGGACAAGGACATCAATTCTTAGCACCAAAAGATTTAATGGATAAAACCATTAATGTGCTCACCCACCTTATCAACCTTTTAAAATGAAGGTATTAATCTCGATTAGATTCTTCATCGGTGGTACTCATCTTCAGTTAATTTCATCAAACCATGTCTAAAATGACTCACGTTGGAATTCTGATGCTTAGGTTAGATAATCACACTGCCATTTTCAGAAGACCTTATCTTCCTACCAAAGATTTATATCAACTATATCTAGAAAGTTTTCTAGAATTAGGAAAAGGTACAGATGATCATGGATACAAACAAGAAAGGATATGTTTTATGTATAAAAGTAACATGAGATTTCTGGTTTCAAGTCTGACATGTAAAAACCCTGGGCACTCCCATCCTCTTGTCTAGCAAGAAGAAGCTAGGCAAGTGGAAAATCCACAACTTTTCTTGGGCCATGAGAGAATGAAATCACTGGACAAACTGTCACCCCAAAGCTGCATAGATGACTGCAGAGAAGTACCATTATGAAATAAGCCCTCAGCCTTCTCCATAACAAACCTGTTTAATTCAGAAGAAATGATGACCAAAGGCCTATCCCAGCTAGAGGAAGGGGATTCCAGCTTTTCTGTCTCATTTAAGGGGAAATAAAACATAGGCTACATTGGCCAGGGTTTCAAGGAATAAATTGGGAATGCTGTAACCAAAGAAACAGGAAACAGGGAAAGAAAAGCTATACCATTGGAGAAACACTCATGAAGGTCACAGCTCCAAGACACTGGCCAAGTAAAAGATTGATTTTAATCACAATATTTTAGAACACAACCTATGCTCCCACCTTAATACTTTACCATGAATCAACAGAGCTCCAGTATCATGACAGAGATTACAGCTTAAAGAGCTACAAGACAGACAGTATCTGAGGAATAGTATACAGGAAAGCCCAAACTCAAGAGTGAGGACAAGAACGAAGACCTATGGAAATTTAAAGCCTCCAGCACCTACAACTGCAGTTAAACACAGCCCAACTCCTTGCCAGATTAACATAAATCCTTACATTAAAGGCCTGTCTACCTCAGTTCCTATCACTCAATAAAATATATCTGACTTTCAATAAAAAATTACGGCATGCCAAAAGGCAAGAAAATAACAACCTGAAGAGACAAAGCAATCAAAGCAAAGTAAACCCTAACTGAGATATGAGATAGGTATTGGAATTATCACATAGGGAATTTAAATAGTTATGAATAATATATTAAGGGCTGTAACAAGACAAGTAACGGACGTTCAAGAACAGATGGATGGTGAAGCAGAGAGGTGGAAAGACTCTAAGGAAGATTCACAGGAAACGCTAGAAAAAAAAACAATGTAACAGAAAGGAAGAATGCCTTTTAATGTGATCATCAATGGAGTTGACACGGCTAAAGAAAGAATCAGTGAGCTTGAAGATAGAAACTTCCCAAACTAGAATGCAAAGTGAAAAAAAAGAATGGGGAAAAAATCAACAGCTGTGTGATCATTTCAAAGAGGTAACATACATGCAATTGGAATAACAGAAGGAAAATAAAAAATGAATAGAGCAGAAGAAATATTCTTCAATAAAAGGAACCAGAGGAACCCACTGATATCACTCCCAATGGCCAAAACTGGAAAAATTTCAGCCACAGAATAAATAAAGTAGTATTAGGTTATAACCCAAGGTATAAAATAAATATAGATGACTCCATGATGATATAAATTAATGAATACATAATTTATATCATGTATGAATACATGAATACATAATTTATATCATGGGGAAATACGTAAGTCTACCATGCAGAAAAATTTTGAATAATTAAAATAGATACACTGAATACATAATGCAGGTGGCATATAATTCCTTAAGTCAGTTTATATAATAGTCATCTAATATACCTGCAAAATATTCTTGAGATAAACATGAAATATATGTTTACAAGGTATGTAATGCAACTGAAAGTATATTTTATCTATCAATAAACCTCTAGTATACTGAACATAAAACAAAACAAAACGAAGCTTGAAAACCTGTCACAGACAAGAGGAGCCTAAGAGACATGATGATTAAATATAATGCGGTGTCCTATGTGGGATCCGGAAACAAAAAAATATATGTTAAATAACTTTTAAGTAATCTTAATAAAGTATGGACTTTGGTTAATAATGGATCAACATTATTTCACTAATTGTGACAAATATTCCATACTAATGTAAGATATTAAAAATAGGGGAAAATAGATGAGGAGTATAGTTGAACTTTGTTCTATCTTTGTAACATTTTTTATAAATAGAAAACTATTTTAAAACAAGAGT